TTATGTATCTTGTACCGCTATTGTTTTTAATCCATTTTTCTATCGTTGGTCTCTATTGATGACTAATATTTATCCTTTTATTATATGACTGATTGACTCACGAATATGCACATTGTCCTTCTTCTGATAAATACATTTATTTCGTTATCGAAAATAGCACTTTCATCAAATTTAATTTTATTGATTTTACAAGAAGCTGAATGCTTTACTATCTGAAAATATCAACTTTTTCCTTATTAATACGTCTTTCGTGTTTGCAAACTTTTTTGTTGCCGCGAAGCGGTAAGTCCAAGCACGTAAAATTTTTCTTTAGTCGAAGCCCGTAAGTCCCACTCCACAAAAAATTATTTTGTCCCGAAAAAGAGAACCACGGGCTTCCCGGTACCGTTTAGTAAACGAAAAAATAGTTTACCATCAATATCATCCTCACCATATCTATCGCCAAGTAAACGGCAACGAACTGATTTTGTTGAAGCAGAGAAAGAAAATATCGATGACAATAATGATAATTATCATAAAATGAACTCTCAGGTTGATAATGAAGACTTGCGAAAGCAGCAGCAGAATATTACGTGGCTCTTCTTCCTTCTAACCAAGATCTTATCCAGTCCACATAGGTATTCGGAATATCCATACTTGCTAGCTTTCCAAGACAACCCTCTAACCAAAGCTGATTTAAAATCAACAAAAACAGTAGCCACGGGAGAGCTATTAGATATGAGAGAGGATATTTGATCTATAAGAAGAAACACATGGGTCTGCAAGCAAACGAAAGTCCCCTCTGAAACCTGATTGCGTATCTGGTAAAACTCCCCTTACTTTTAAAACCTTAAGAAATCTCGACAAAAATAATTTTTCTTGAATTTTTGGAAAAACATCTAGGAGAGAAATAGGACGAGTAGAGGAAACTGGACAAATAGATTCCCTTTTTGCTAATAGAATCATCCTCACATCCTTCCACGGGGACGGGTGCCAAGAATTTGAAAAAGAAAAGTTAAGAACATGACAAAGCAACTGCAGCCTATGTATAAATTGACAACAAGAAATTCCCTAACATCTTTTGTTGATAATTTCAAAGATAGCCAATTTAATCCAATAATGGGTATTAAAGAAATCAGTAATATCATATTGTTAACAATTTTCATTATTTTTATTCCATTGGTTTTCCTCTTCATTCGATGGACCAAGCATATGGCACAGAAACGTATCGACAAACTCGAGAAAGACAGATGACATTGTTCATAACGTAGTTTGAGATGTCACAACCATTGATTTCAATATAAATAAATTTCTACTACTGTTACTGATATTTTTTCATCTGTCAAACGGAAACGTAGGTACAGAACCAGTATTTGAGGGGTTTACCCCATTTTTCGTTCGATGACTCCCGTCATAAAGACCACCATTCGATAGCGAAGTGAATTCTGCATGTTACACAATCAAAGAGAGAGTTTACACAAGCTCATAGACGAATATTAGCAAGAAATATTCGAATCCGCTGCTAGGTTCCCTTACGTTAAAACACACACATTCCTACTTAGCTCGAGGAACCCTATCTAATCATACATAAATCTCACAGAAGTAAAAACCGCTGAATTTTGAATTTCCAGCACCTTACACATATCCAGTTATTAAAGACTATAAGTTAATGCAGTGAGTTAATCTTCATCAAATTTATAAAACCCTTAAAAAGTACGGTCTAATTTTCTTTTAGGAAAAGATTTTATTTTCAAATAAAACTCTTTCCTTTCACTTGTTATTATATTTATTTTTGAGAGCTATTCGGCTTGTCCAGCTAACGCGACACTTCCTTGTCCAAGTTTTTTTTTCGAGTTGCTTAAAACCGTTTGTGCCATGTCGAAAAGCATAGTCGAAAACCTAGCTAAATGTGTCTGTGTCCAATTATGAACTCGGTTAAACGATCTTTCAGAGCATCTTAATAGCACTTCTCAGAAACCCTATTATAGTTGGGGCGAAGACTTTCTTTTATATACCCTACCTATAAATGGACTCTTTCCTCGTTGAAGTCAGTCACTCGTTCTCGGTTAGTGAGTGCTAATCGTACACATTTCGAAAAAAGATACATTTGTGCCGATTGCTACAGTTTCTTATAAAAACAACTTTTCAAATAGATCGAAATAGTAATCGTATTTTCTTCTTCTATATATATATTCAAATCAAGTTTTACTCAAAACCAAACTATAATATTGGTCAGTTTATGTCACTCGCTAGGATTACGAGAAAAACTTTGAAAAGCGTGCTTCTTTTCTCTTAAACTCAATGTTGAAATCCATTGTGATAAACTCTTGAAAACATCAATTGACTGTTGAAACAATTGTGTGAAGCAATGACAACAAAAGCTAGAGACTAACAATACTAGATTGAAAAGTCGATGGAGTGAATCTGCCACTAGAGACATCTTGTTTTTCTAGAAAATGATCAATTTGCTGTGCGAATACGATCCATTAGCTGATAACAACAAACAATCACCTGTTAGGAGAGTTCCAAAAGTAACGTACTCTATCAACAAACTTTCATGTAAACTAATGATTCATACTGGTATCTCAACATAATCTAAAACATCTAATAACTCACTAACCTATTTGTTTTTTTCGAATTTGTAATCTGCGTATGAGTGCAGCTTGGATCATCATAAAACTCCTTTCTTTCGACTGTATAGTCGACTAGAAATACTCGATTCATCTCTCTTCGAAGAATTTTAAAGTTAAAGTTCTTTAAGAATTTTCACTACACGTAATAAATGTGCAATAGATATGTAGTGGATGTGTAGTGGGATGTAGTAGATATGTAATGGGGTGCAGCAGATGTGTAGTGAGATGTAACAAAAAAATATCGCTCAATTCTGTATTAACAAGATCGAGTTACAATAAAATGAATAATATCCCGACGGTATATTCATTCGATTTACAGTCAATGGACTGCGTGAATCCGTGTGATTCACGTTATTTATATTAGTATTTATATTCAAAAGAAATGTCATGAAATTTTTCATTTCTTTTGAATATAAATACTAATATAAATAACCCCACAGAATTTTGATCATTTCTAATGGATTCGACAAGAGTCTAATAACTTTAGCGTAGCTAGGTTGTCCTATTTAGTACATTTACTCGTGTTAAATCACTCATTCCGAAGGAAGGCAGCTTCTTCGAGATCTTCGATAAGATCATCAATAGAAATTGTTCAACTGACTGACGTAAAGACGAAATAAGACCGGTTGACGCAGATTTTCAATTAGATTAATCAATGCCGCTTCCATGCATGGTCCAGTAAATGATTGATGAAAATTCTATATGAGCGTAAAACTGATAACATTCATTACACTATCAAATTAAAATTGCTTTATCATATAAGTTACTTTTTGTTTTTCAAGGTGTTTGATTGTATTGGACTTGTGGCATTTTGCGTCCAAAACATATTTGGTAATAGCTAGTTAACGGATGTTCCAGAATAAATTGCACAAAACCTTGGCGTGTTTTTCTCTCACTTCCTATTCATACAAGGATTTGCTTTGTATACCAAAAAGATAGAGAATTTTCCGCTCCACAAAATGGAATACGTTTTAGATCTGTATTTATTACCTTGGAAAAATGTAAAAGGGAAAGTAAAGACATCCAGTTGAACTCGACTCTTGTTGACAGCTTGTTTTATTTGATCCCTTACTATCCGTTTAAAATCAATCATACAAGTTTTATTAATTGATTATATCCAAGAAAAACATGTTCTTCTTGCAGCTACATCACGTGAATATTTGTGAATTTTGTTTTCATTGCAGCCTTCCGTGCACAATCACAGCACGACTTATCGGATATCTTTAGTTTTCTTTCACAAATTTTTCCAGGATAATATAGATAGATCTAAGACGTATGGTATTTCGTAGAACTTGAAATTCGCGATCTTTTGGTAAACAAAGCAATCTTTTATTAATAAGACGTGAGAGAAGAATGTGCTAAGATTTAGTGCCATCTATTCTGGGACACGCGTTATATAAGTGCTAGATGGATGATAGATAGTTCAAAATATTATGGTTTGCATTTGTCTGTACCTGACTGAGCATAGCAATGATAATCTAGCGGAATATGTCACAGCTGCAATTTTGTGAGACTTCGTTTCGTTCTAACATCTATACTTAAATTACAGAAAATAGCACTACAATTTGTAAATTCGAACTAGGGAAACCGGTAGATACCGAACTGGGTGAAAAGCTAGTCTAAATGAAAAAGTGAAATGACGAACTGACTCCGTTTCTGTCCGGTGCCGGTCTCGCAAGCCTTAGGCTATAGTGAACAGACATTCAGCTGTTAAACACAGAAAGGATAGAAAAACATTACTGCTCTTGAGCTACAGAAATAAATATTCAACGAAGTACCAAAAGGATTTCAAAAATGCAGGAATTCTCAACAAGTTAACCTTTTATTAGAGGAAGCTTCTTCTAATCTGTCTTTTGTCTCGTTCGGTTGAGGGGATCTTTTATTCTAGCCAGGAAGGTCTTCTAATGTGTCCATGGCTTTCGTATGCAACTAGAAAATAGCCACTGTAAAGAAAGATAAGACTGTGGTAGATGAGGATAACGAAACCCAAGAATCCTTCTTCATAGATTTTGTTGTCAGCGACTCTTTCAAAGTTTTGAAAAATCGTTCAAATCAGATTTTTTTGTTTGTATAGTTCCTAATCGACCAACACTGTCCTCTCAAGCCAGTATCATCATATTCAACACCATTTCAAGTCGACGTACACGATCACTGCTGTTCAGCAACTAGAATCTCGCCAGTGGTTAATTTGAAATGGACAAAATGGAAAAAACACAATCTACAGAGTCCAGCAGTACATCATCCGCCGATAATAGCAACTCCAGGCAAACATCCACTATCTCTCCTAGAAGGGCGACTACCGCACCCTCAGCCGCCAACCATTCAGCAAGACCACCACCACGACATCGTATACTTGAAAATTTCAGGTTAATTTGGTTAGATTCGGATATGGATGAATCCGACGCAGACTTTAAACACTCCCTAATCCAACTTCGAAAAATTGTCAACACCATTGACACATTCACCAATGCTGATCCATGCGTCGATTTTCTTAATCAGACTAAGAACGAAAAAGTCTTTATGATTGTTTCAGGCGCTCTTGGACAATCAACAGTACCGAACATTCATCATTTTCCTCAACTTGATTCTGTGTATGTATTTTGTCGCAACAAGACAAAACATGAACAGTGGACAAAAGGATGGTCAAAAGTCAAAGATGTTTTCACTGGAATCGATCTGATTTGTGATAGACTCAAACAAGATACTCAACAATGTGACCATGATTCTGTTTCGATCAATGTCACCACCAGAGAAGATTTGGGTAATCTTGATCCATCATTTATGTATACACAATTGCTCAAAGAAACTGTTATTGAAATGCAATATGATGATAAGGCAAAAGCAGCCCTTGCTAACTTTTGTCGAGATCAATACCATGACAATCCACATGAGAAGCAGATAATCGATGAGTTCGAACGAGATTATGACGATCATACACCCATCTTGTGGTACACTCGGGAAGGTTTCATTTATAAGATGCTCAATCCTCCGATTGAGTGCTGAGTCCTCCGAACACAAGAGGTGGAAACTATCATACAAATGGGCTTCTTCTTATGTGATGTTCATCGACACATTGAAAAAATCCACTCGGAAACAGAACATCAGGACATGTTAACGGTCTATCGAGGTCGATGCATGTCTACTGTGGACTTTAACAAGATCCTACAGAGTAAAGGTGCTCTGTTGGCGTTTAATAACTTCTTATCGACGAGCACAAATCGAAACGTCTCATTGAAATTTGCTCGTGGTGCGCTACACAATCCCAATTCGGTCGGTGTTCTCTTCGAAATGACTGTTAATCCATCAAAGTCGTCAACTCCGTTCGCTTCCGTGGCACACATCAGCGCCTCCCAGACCGTGGAAGAAATTTTATTTTCCATGTATTCTGTATTTCGGATCGGTAAAATCCAAGCAATTCAACAGATATCTGGCGAGTGGAACTCACTTTGATCACCGACGATGATCCAGAGCTTAAACAACTGACTGACTATTTCCGACAACACACACCAGGAACAACCGAGTGGCAACGGCTCGGTAAAATGCTACTCCAAATGGGAAACTTCGATAAGGCCAAAGAAATCCTCCAGATATTACTCGAACAGTTACCCAAGGACGACGAACAAAGACTTTCCCATCTTTACGAACAACTTGCATATATAAGAAATCAGAAGGCAGATTACCAGGAGGCACTTGGATATCATCAAAGGTCACACAAAATTAGAAAAAAATCTCTTCCTCCAACTCATCCCAATTTGGCTACCAGTTACCATAACATCGGCTGGGTGTATGACAACATGGGAGAGTACTCGAAAGCACTTGAATACTGTGGAAAATCACAGAATATCAGAGAAAAATCTCTCTCTCCAAGTCATCCGGACGTGGCTGGTAGTTACATCAGCATCGGTTGGACGTTTAAAAACATGGGAGAGTACTCGACAGCGCTTTCGTCTTACGATAAAGCACTTAAAATCTACGAAAAATCTCTCCCTCCGATTCATCCTGTTTGGCTAACTGCTACAACAACATCGGTGAGATATATTGTAACATGGGCGCGTACTCGAAAGCACTCGAGTACCACGAGAAATCACAAAAAATCAGGGAAGAATCGCTCCGTCCGAATCATCTCGATTTGATTGAAAGTAACAACAACATTGGTTCGTTCTATTTCAACATGGGAGAGTACTCGAAAGCATTTTCAGTGCTTAAAGAATCTCTGAATATTCATCAAATGTCACAGGATAATAATAATTCGAAATTTGCTGCAACAACATACTATTGGTTAGGACGGATAGAGTGTTTTATGAAGATTATTCGAAAGCACTTGAATACTATAGAAAAACAATACAAACAATACAAAAAAAGAGCCTTGCCGGAAAAACATCCAGACTTCGCTATAACATACAGTAACATTGGAGATGTGAAAAGATTAACTGGAGATCATACAACTGCACGTTCATTTCTGGAAAAAGCACTTGAAATTCAAGAAAATGTTACTTGTGACCGTTGTGATTTGGCTTGGATATACACTTATATGGGTGAAACTTATCGTGAGATGAAAGATTACTCAACAGCACTAGAATTACTTGAAAAAGCACTGAAAATCCGTGACAAATTGCTCGCTTCGAGTCATCCCGATTTGGCTGTAACATGTCGCAATTTAGCGAAGGTGTACAACGGACGAAGACAATTTAAAGTGGCTTCTGGACTTGCGCAGCTCGCTGTTGAAATGGCTGAACAAAAGTTGTCTGAAAAACATCCACATATTTTGGAATATAAGGAAACAGTATTAGAAATACGTAAAAGCTTGTAATTTAGTCGCTTCCCCAGTCAAAAAATATATCAAGAAGAGGAGTATCATGGAGCACTCTTTTTAGAAAGAAAAGAATTTCTCAAAAGGAGTACTCCAAAAGCTACAATGGAGTACCCACAAAAAATGAGTACTCCTAAGTGTTGCTTCTTTTCAAGTGCTCCGCAGTATCTCAGCTGCACTTTATAAAAAGCAGTGCTCCGAAGCACTCCAAAAAAGAAGTACTAGTACTTCTTTTTTGGAGCGCTTCGGAGCACTTTTTTTTTACTTCTTTTTTGGAGTGCTTCGGAGCACTGCTTT